TGGAGCACTGGGTGTTATGCACAAACAATGAATCATGGAACACTACATCAAAAACTAATGATGTAATGTATGGTGATTAACATAACAATAAAAAATTATTTAAAAAAAAAACTGGGGAAAAGTACTTACAAGCCACAGGGCTGTGCTTTAATAACTTATGGACATGAACATCTGACCTTGAGACCCATGTGCCAAACCAAGGTTATATATTGAGCCAAACACATGCTTATTAAAGCAGCAGTGCTGTTTCTTGTTAAAAAAAAAAAATATTATGATGCCATATTATACACCAAAATGAAGTTCTGTATAAATGTTTTAGGCTCATAGGTCTTACACAATTATCACGCCCAACAAAAAATGCAAAGAAAATATAAAATCAATCAAAATCAAATTCAAATTCAAATAACGTGAAGGATGATCTTTTGCTGAAACTAAAGGGTTGGTGTAGTGTCATTAGAAGAGTACTGAAGATGTGTGTAGTTCAATAATTCACTGGATTGAAATGATCTGGAGCTTCAAGTACTATTGTCTGAATTATTATGATTAGTTGTTCTGATTACATTGACTTTTCCTATTCAAAAATGTCCATTTAACTTGCCACTTTACAAAAGTAAAATAAATAAATGTAATAAAGTACCCAAAAATCAGCACTGGAAAAAAATACATATTATGCATTTACTGCTACTCTTACATCTACTGAATTGCGTGTTGATACATCCAAACAATGAATGTGAGTGACTCGCCCTCTTCCAATGGAAATATTGTGGTAACCATGGCAACATAGGTTCTTGGGAGTTTGGCCTGTGTGTAGTACCATGTGCCGTATTGTAACCAAAATTTTCTAAGTCATTTTCTCCATTTAAACAACTGTGATGCCTTTATTTGTAGAATGCCATTATTCCATTTGTCTTTAGTAAAAGTGACAAGAACACAAAAGTATCAAAACCAAGGGGAGTATTCTAAGTTGGCCATACAGATTATTAGAAAATGCTGTTATTGTGTTGTTTTGTTGTCATCAAACAGAAAATTCCAAATCTAAAAATTCTCATGTAATTCCTACCTCCCAGGGGTTGGCAAAATTTTTTTCTGTAAAGGGTCAAAGAGTAAATACGTTAGGTTTTGAAATCATCTCTCTGGGCAACTACCCAACTCTGCTGTTACAGTACAAACAGCCATAGTCAATGCACAAATAAATGGACATGGCTGTTTTTCCAGTAAATCTTCATTGACAAAGACAGGTGGTAGCCAGCTTTGACCTGTGGGCTGTAGTTTGCCAATCCCTGCTAAGCTCCAGGAATTTCCCCATAAACCTCCAAAGTCCCACAGATTACAGTCTGAGAGACTCAGCCACGTGTTCCTTTGTGTCCTGTCACTGCGATATTATCAATATTACTTTTGAGGGTGCTTAAAATAAAGGAAGGATATTAAATAAGTAAATGATAGAAAGGGGGAAGAAAGAGATTTGATGATCTCAAGGCCTAAGATATTTTGGTGCTGAGGATTCAGGAGTAAAAACACAGATGTGGTCCCTGCCACAGAGTAGTAGTGGAAATAGCTTTTAATCAAATAATCAAAGAAATAAAGGAAAAACTGCAAATTTGAAAAGGCAAGGGTCTATGATTCTAAGAGTACACACTGAGCTTTCTTCAGTTACGCTTAGAACAAGAAAGAGCAGGCATTTGGTAATTTTTACTCTTTTGAAGGGAGGGAAAATAATTTTAAGAAAGGAAAAAAGTGAGAAAATCACCTACACTTGCTACAAAAGGGTCATATAGGAGGAACAAAGTGCTTTTAAGGAACTTAAATAACACCAGTATTTGTGAAGACAGAGACAGGCAGACAGAGAGTGGGAAGAAGGGAGAGACATTAGAGCATATTGTGGAATGAGGCTAGCAAGGTAGCAAGATCCTAAATTATGCAAGGTTTTGTAGGTCATTAAGAAGTTTTTCTCTATTCTAAGAGCAAATGGGGATCTAGGTGACTGACTCTATCAAATTTTCACTCTGACAAGAGACTACAAAGGACCATATTGAGGAGTCATGAGGTCAAATGTTAAATGTACTAAGAGTGGGGAACCAAGGGATTAAAGTGGATTTTTAATTAGGATTGTGGAGTTGAACTGGGTTGTGGGGGTTATGATGTCTTCTGGAAGACTTTTAGGAGGCAAATTCAACAGAACTGGGAGATAGATTGGATTTGGTATTTCAAAAATAAATAATTATGAATAAGTAAAAAGCACACGAGTCCTAATACACCCTGGTGTGAGGTTGTGGCAGAAACGGCTCGTTCCCTCTACAATGCCCATTGTCTCCTTTTCCTAACAGAATCCCAATTTTAATGTGCATGTCAACATGTTAAGATAAAAAATAGCCCTGATATCTCAGCCTTCCTTGCAGATGGGAGAGAGGTGGAGACATTAAATAACACTCAGGTAAATGAAGTGGAAATAGAAGCCACTGGGTGTTGTTTCTGGAAAAGATCGACTCGGCCATCATGTGCCTATTTGCCCTCTGACTTTTTCTTTCTGCCTGGAGGGTGTATAAAGTGGACAGATCTCTAGCAGTTTCTTTAAAGTATAAAACCAATAGTGACACCTTAAGGATGAGAGACTGAGCTAGAAAGATCCTCGATCCTTCCTAAAATGATGAAGCTAGCATACCAGCCCTGCCTATGATAGAGCTTCTTTATATGAGAGGAAAATAAATTTCACCCTGTTAAAAATATTATCATTTGACTGCCTTCGGCTCAGGTCGTGATCCCAGGGTCCTGGGATCGAGCCCCGCATCGGGCTCCCTGCTCGGCGGGAAGCCTGCTTCTCCCTCTCCCACTGCCCCTGCTTGTGTTCCCTCCCTTGCTGTCTCTCTCTCTGCCAGGTAAATAAATAAAATCTTTAAAAAAAAATAATATCATTTGAGTTTTATGTAATATGAGGCTGAACCAATCTCTAAACTGATACAGATGATGTTCATTAAGAACACAAATTCATTGTTTCCATCAGAGATTGAGTGAGTAAGCTGGGATAGAGCCTAATAATCCAGATCTTCAGAGGTGCTCTAGGTGATGTTGATGGTTGAAGTCTGGCATTTGGGAACCACTGCCCTGTATAACGTTTCCTCTACCTTCCCCCACCTTTTTCACCAAACATGTACATAAATACAAATGCCCAATTTTCTCCACAAACACATTTTCAGTAGTATCAAAACTTAATTAAGAAAACTACATTCAAACCATATGATCCAGTAATTCTATTACTGGATATCTACCCAAAGAAAAGGGGAACACTAATTTGAAAAGATATGTGCACCTCCATGTTTATAGCAACATTATATACAGTAGCCAAGGTATAGAAGCAGCCCAAGTGTCCATCGATGATGGACACAGAAAAAAAATACATAAGCAAAAAAAAAAAACAAAACACCACACAAAAAACCAGACATAACTATAGAGAACAAACTGATGGTCACCAGAAGGGCAACTTGGGCAGAGTTTGTGCAGAGGCTGCAGGTGCCTGGTGAATACTGTGTTCCGTGGCACAGATGTAAGTAGCAGTGTCCACAGTCTGGGAGGCCATGAGGGACAAAGAACTGCTTTTGATGGAGCTGTTCAGTGTGACTTGTAGCCTTCCACTGTGTTTCTCTCTTTCATTTGAATGGATTAAAACCAGCCAGACAAAGCCTCGACCTGAGTCCTGTCGATACCACCATAAATTGCTTATAGAAGTTTTATAACTGCAGTTCATAGTGGCATTTTCACCCTCCTGGATGCTCAGGACCCGATGATACTCTTCCTGCTGGCTCTTCACCCCTGAGCAAAAACAGAAGCCCAGACACCGAGAGTCAGTCATTGTATTTTCACTCTTTAGTATTTACATTTCCTTTCCATAATTTTCTGGTACATTTTCAACTTAAAATTTTGCCCAAACTCAGTCTTGTGGGCTCTGAACTTAGGTAACGATGTTCTCATAAATTTGGTCACACTGTTTCTATTACCAAGAGCCCCAACTCACTGGCCAGTTGAAGCCATAGTATCAGCAAAGACATTTCCAGGAATTTCTCCATTCTTCTTCCTTTTTGGGATCACAGAAGACTCCGCTCTGGGGCCTGAAATGCAACCAGGATACTCAATTGAAAGAGTTGGCTCTCTCTATGGGGTATATTTATCTGTTCTCTCTGGACGACAGAGTCTCACCTGGCCAATCAGAAGCAAACCCAATCCTTTGCTTTCAATACCCACAATTTCAAACCTATTGAGTCTGAGGAGAGACACTGTCATCTTGTGGTAGCAACATCATATTGCTGATACACGGTACTCTGGAAAGGTAAAATGGGCGATTCAGAAACAATTATAAAGCAGGGATGCCCACCTTCCCGCCATGTCTTCACTGTGGTCCAATCCTAATCTCTTCTCGTAAGGACACCAGCCATACTGGAGGAGGGCCCATCCTAACAATCCCATTTTAACTTAATTACCTCTTTAATCACCCTACACCCATTACAGTCACATTTTGAGGTACTGGGGGTTAGGAACATACATATTTGGGTGGGGAGACAATTCATCTCATAACAATGAGTATCTGATATTTCTGTTTCTATGGCAGGAGGCGGTAGGGCTCAAGAAGAGAACCAGCTTTGCAATCAGGCCAGGGAGGTCAAGTTTAGATCTAACCATTCAGTAGCCGTTTATAGCATTTATATCTGTATTCTCTTGACTATAAAATGTGGATGATGAGTAATAATAATATTGCTTTCTTAGAGTTTTGTAAATGATTGACGAGATAATAAAATGCTATTTAGAGCAGATCCTGACACTTACCAATGACTCAAAAATTATTGTTGTTGAAAGAAAATGGGTCCTGATGTTGAGCAGTCAAAAGGAATGGCAACATCCCCTAGAGTGTTTTCTAAATGGTTTCAAAAACCGACTTTAAGATATTCTGTGTGTAAAATAGAGAGATGGGGATGAAGGGAGGGAAGAAAAATAAGGAAAGCAGGAAAGAAAGGAAGAAGGGGAGAGGTTCTTGGCCGGAGATTGGAGAGGGCTAGGAGGTACTTCCAGAAGAAGGTTTGTGTTGGGTGACTACCACAGCAAACCTGGGTGTCTATCATTATGAGAAAAAGAAATAGTATAGCTTTCTGAGGAAGAAACTGATGTTATTTAAGGAGTTTACATTTTAATCTGTCTGCTCTCTGCTACATACTTTTGAAAAAATTTGTGAGGAAATTTTTGACTAGTGGTTAAAAGGTGACCCCAACTCTAAGAAATTAAGGGACTTGTCTACTGCCTCACAAGACTCTAATTCCCGTACTATTTGTATCTATTTGGCTGTATACACAAAAAATATACTGAGAAGCAGAAAAAGGAAACCGAGGGGCACCTGGGTGGCTCAGTCGGTTAAGTGTCTGCCTTTGGCTCAGGTCATGATTCCAGGGTCCTGGGATTAAGCCCTACATTGGGCTCCCTGCTCAGGAGGGGAGTCTGCTTCTCCCTCTCCTGTTGCCCCTCCCCCCACTCATGATCTCTCTCTCTCTCTCTCTCTCTCTCAAATAAATAAATAAAATCTTTAAAAAAAATAAAAGGAAACAGAGACATTGCTGACCTCTGGGGAGAACTGGGAGGTGAGCTAGCTGGGGTGAAAGGGAAACTTCATTGTAAATGTTAAAGGAATACCAGAGCAATAAAGGAAAAAGCAGGATCATTAAGGACTCAGACCCTTTGAGAATGAAGTTTGGGGTCACTTCACAAGGCAAACAACCCAAACCCAGCAAGGTTATGGCTTCGGGCAGGGAAACAGAAAATGCATAGCAACAGAAAAGAGCTGTGTCAGCTGCAGCCCCATGACCAAATCTAGACTCCAAGAATGTAGTAGCTTTCTCGATCTTCTCTTTGTTCTTTATACATGTATGTTCTACTCTATATGCTGTCATTTTCTTCTTGCTCCCTCCTTCTCACCATTATATATAAAATGTCAAAAATTAACTTTGTGATTTAGTCTGTATATAACAGCATATTCAATGGAATTCCCTCCGAATTTTTAGAAATGATTAATATAGCAAGAAATGTATAGTGGCTGTTGGGACTATAGGTCTCATTTTGGGGAAAGGGTAAGAACTTCTCTTGTTCAAAGGACGGCTTTAGCTTGTTAGATGGTAACATAGAGTCATTTCCTTGTTGTTTAGAAGTTCAAATGTGTGTGCAGAGATGCATATGAAAGATAAGTAACCACAGGTATAAAACGTGTCAGTTACTGATTTATTGCCTTTCTTTCTAATTGCCAAATCCACCCTTCAGTGCCCCCTTTGTGATATTGGACCCATTCCATGGAAAGATCTCTCCTTTACCAGCTGGCATGATATCAAGCTATGCCAATAAGAGGAACGTGGAAGGGCACTGCAGGAGGGAGAAAATTCTCTTCCTGGTCTGGTATATCTTCACATTTCTTGTTCCTGCAGTTTTGGGCCAGCCTGTGGGACAAGCAGTGGCATTGCCCTGCAGCAAGGTTCATTGACAGATGCACATCAGCTTCTTGGCCAGAGTCATGAGTGCCCCGAGCAACTTCAGCAGCACTCCTTTGCTAGCTTCCTATAAACTTTGTTGGAACCCGGGTAGGTGTTTTTCTGCTTGCCAGCCTTTTTCTCTGGCACCTCGGCACGCTTCTCCACCATTCCACAGGCTACAGCCACACACTCCCCAGCGAGATCTGAATCCTCGGAGAGTACGGTATTACTTGGAATTACGGTCACTTACTTGGAAACTCTGGTTTAGTCTTAAGATAAGAGCTTCTCCCTACATATGCTATTTCTACGTTCTTTAGAGTTCTTTTTATTCATTAGTGGCTAATTCTCTATTATCAGTTAATAATTACTTGTATTAAACTTTCCTTGCTCGGATTACTGTGGGGTTTTTTTTTCCTCCTGATTGAGTTAGTAGGAGTCTATCAAGTGCATGACAGGAAAGGTATTATGCAGAGGGGCCAGCAATCACATGCCATGAAAGAGTACAGTAGTTTTAGGGAACTGTGCTTAGGTACAGGGTGATGAACACATGTGAGGTGGGATGGGGTGGCAGGGGGGTTGGAGAGGTGAGACCCAACCACTGGAGAGTTGCCCTGGGCCAAGAAAAAAAAAAATGTTTTTTACGTTGTGCTATATAGTTTATTTCAAAAGTGCGTTTTCCAGGTACTACTGGACAGAATAAACACACTTATATCTTTAAAACTAATTAAACAGAGTAGGTAAGGAGAATTTCCTTGGACAAATTTTTGAGATTAACCTATAGCTAACTGACAACCAATGATATTATATCTAAGAGGTAAACTCAATGTCAGTCTCCAGAGAAAGAATGCCCCACCATGGCCATATAGAAAACTTATGAAGAGGGGCAACAGGGTGGCTCAGTCAGTTAAGTGTCAGAGTCTTGGTTTCGGCTCAGGTTATGATCTAAATGGGCCTTGAGATCGAGTCCCATGTTGAGCTCCATACTCGGCGTGGAGTCTGCTTGGTATTCTCTCTCTCTCCCTCTGCTCCTCTCCCCGCTCACGTGCACTCTCTCATTTCTTCTCTATAAAATAGACAAATCTTTGAAAAAAAAAAAAAGAACTTATGAGGAAATACTTTCTGTAACTCCACAAAGGGTTTATGCTCTGCTTCCCTTATGAAACCAGTTACTGTGTCCCTCAGAGCACAGTAATACGTGGCTGAGTCTTCCTCTTGAGCTGATTGTTTCTTCAGATGGAAAGATGTCTCATCCTTGTTAAGGCTGGCCGTGAAACCTTTGATACTCTCTCCTGAGATGTGTTTCAGGAGTAACTGGAGGCCTCGTTTGGGGTACTGGACATACCAGAAGAGCACAGGACTCCCAGAATATGAGTAGTTACACTTGACCTGCACGAAGTTCCCTTCAAAGACAGAGATAAAGTCCTCAGGCTGGGTCACTGTCTGAGCTCCTGTTCCTCCTGTAACACCAATTTAGCATCAGGGAGAGTCTTGCAGACTGAGAAGAATATTCCTTTCAACTAATCTAAATCAGAGGACCACAGAAAGAGAATAAAAAGGGACTATACTCACTGAGTGTGAATATCATCCCCAGCACTGAGAGGAGGGTGGCCTTCATGTCCGAACTGCAGAGGAAACAGGAGGCTCTTTTCTGCAAACAGTTCAGCCACATGGACACTGACAGAGTGGTAAGTGAGTTTACCGGTGTGTAAAGCAAAAGCTCTTCCTCAAAGAGCTGGCTGGTTTCTGGCTTTCTGTCAAGTTCAATTTGTGTAACGTCTTCCTCTAGAGGCAAAATCGGATACTGCAGATAATCTTGGTCTTCAAGGAAGCCTTGAAATTCTCAGAATGAAGAGTGTTTTTCCTCCACAGTTAATAAGACAAAGTGTAATGCTTTACTAATTGAAAAAGCATGCTACTATAAAGGTCCAGATAGAGAAACCAATGGGATGGAATTGAAAGTTCAAACACACACATTACTGATGGAAATTTAGTTATAACAAAAATGGCAAAAAGATAAGTTAAAAAAATTAAATGTGCCTTCATAAATGGAGAGTTGCTTAGAAATTAACAGACAAATGTGGACATCTACCTTAATATCTGTTACAAAATAAATTCCAAGTGAAATAATATTTAATATTTTAAAATAAAATAAAAGATAAGTTATTTTTAAATAAATTTAGGATGGTCATAGTTTGTTTAAGCATGTCAGTCAGAAAGCATTACAGAAAATATCGATAGATCACATTTCATAGAAATTTAAACTTCTGTACAGGTATGCTAATGAAACGTTTAAACATTACCAGATCAAGTGATTTTCCATCCATCATCATTGATTCTGAACTTCCCTACACCAGGAAGTGGCCCTTTAGAATTTAAGTTCTACAGGTTTTTTTAAATACAGGTCATAAAGGAAGAACCAACCATTCGGCTTAGAAAGAAGGCAATTCTAGATAGATGATAGATAGAAAATGTCCCTGATTCCTTGTGCTTTGCCAGGAGCCTCTGTGGTGACCAGCCAGGTTATGCCAAGAGAGCTCAAGTGAGGAATCCTAAGTGGAGTCACATATAAATCTGGGGTCAGGTATCAGGGAAGTCGAGGATGAAGAGCAGAAAAATATGGATCATTGAGAGGGCTTGGTCTGCAGAGATCACTGGACCTCTAAGAAGGAACCTATTCTTTTGAGAAAGCCTCTCCTCTAGCCCCCGAATAGCCGAAAAGGAAGTAACAAGTAGGCTGAATCCCACCTGTCCTTAATGAAGAGTATAGGAGATCAGAGAGCAAGAAGCTTTCCTTCTACTTTTTCAGCAGGGTACTGACATTGCTGCTGTATCAGTGCTCTGTCAACAGCTACCCTGCTGACCAGGGGCACAGAAACATCTAGGTTCTTCATTCTCATAGAATCGCCTCCACATAGACTGCCCCCAGTAATCAGACATGTCAGGAGGGTAGTAAAGAAAGGGAAAAGAAACTTCAGAGAGAAATAAAGTCCTCATCTGGGTCAAGTACAGCCTGAAAAAATGATCAGGGTCAGTGACCCCATTTCCTTAGCCAAAAATCAGGACACATAGTCTGAAAAGTGATTGAGAATTCACTTATAAGAAAGCTGTGTCAAAGAAAGAATGCATCATTGAATGCATTGTTAATTTATTCAATCCCCTTAAAGGAGTCAATATAATTAAATGAAATTAGGAGAATTCTCTAAATCTCAGACTTATGGTCATCATGAACAAATACAATGTCTCCAACAAGACTGATTGATGGAAAGAAATAGAACGTGTATATGATGGTCACCTCATTTCAATCTCCCTTCTTCTCTTGTCCAACATTTTCCCGTATACCTTGCAGGTATACTTGCCTATTCTGTTCTGTGACTATGAAGTATAGGCCACATTTTGAAATTCAAGTAACTATGTCCTATTTCTTTCTCCCCAATCTCTCTTCTCTTCACTCTCTTTTCTCCTCTCTCTCCCTCTATGCCCATTATTTTTCTCCCATTTCATCTTCTCATCTTTTTTTCCTGTTTTTCTAATCTCAGAAGAGGTATAACAGAAGGTAGAAATCATTGGAATAATTTTGAAGTGAGAGTAAAGGCTCATATTTCATAATTTTTAGTCATAAACACCAAAACGGTAAATTAGTAATGTAAATGTTTTCTCCTGGAGCTTCCAGCTTTCCCTTTGCTCTAGATGATGCTCAATTCTGCCTTGAGTCCTCTCTGTCACACCCATCAGAGCAGCAGACCGTCCTCCCAGATGAATATATGGAGAGCTCCCTGTCCTGACAAGGTATGACTAGTCCAGATGCTCTCCTAACTGCTGCTAGCCCTTATTCAAATTTTCACTAACTTTCAACAATCTCAGAACTAGAGGGAAAAAGTTGCGCATTTAGAGTAATGCCTAGAGTGACCCCTACTGGTCGAAAACCAGGCTGGGGGTTTTTTTTTGTTTTGTTTTAAGTAAACTCGTTTCTTCGTCAAAATGCTATTTAATAAAGGTTACTAACTTTTTTTTAAAAGATTTTTATTTCTTTATTTGACAGAGAGAAAGAGCACAAGCAGGGGGAGTGGCAGGCAGAGGCAGAAAGAGAAGCAGGCTCCCCCGCTGAGCAGGGAGCCCAAATGACCTGAGCCAAAGGCAGTCGCTTAACCAACTGAGCCACCCAGGTGCCCTAAAGGTTACTATCTTAAAATATTTTGTCAAATTACACCTTCTGGGTTGCATGTAATTTCTCCGGTCCACAGCAATTTATTGAAGGTCTTCTTAAACTAGATCTTGTGCTAGGTCTTAAGAAATCAAAAACTGAATGAAACATTGTCACTACTCTTAAGACACTGAGGTACAGCAGGAAAGACAAACATGTAAGTGTGTGTGTATTCATATCCCAAATAGCATCCCAGAAAAGTACAAAATGAATCCAGAAATAAGCAGACATTTCTTAGAGGACAGTTAGACAAAGATTTAATAAGAACGTGATCATTTTGTCCTTTTCCCAAAAAAGATAGAAAGGAATGTTATCAATAGATTAAGTAGAAATATTATTTTGGGAGGGTACTACAGATGTTTCCCAGATGAAAATAAAAGAGGGGGAGATAGGGGTGCCTGGCTGGTTTGGTCGGTGGAGCATGTGACTCATAATCTCTGGGTTGTAACTTTAAGCCTCATGCTGGGTGTGGAGGTTACTTAAAAATAATCTTTGAAAAAAAGAGGAGATGAACAGATATGTAGAAAGAATTTGGGGGACATGAAGTATAATTGCTTACTTTATTGCTAATTTCAAAATTAATTTCTGCTCTGTGAGGTTTAATTTCTGTGTGTATAAACATTTATAACATTTTGGGGGCAATTTTTTTAATCACATAAATCACAAATAATAATTTAGAGTCATAATCATGTATATAAAGTATCTTAAACATGTGAGCTCTTTGATACAGTTGTTTCAGAGGAAATAAAAATATTCCCTGGTTTTGGATATCCCTATTAGAATTAATGTAATCTTTGATACCGTGAACTTTGGTCATGGAGATCGATTTTCCTATGAACTTTGTTAATGTGTTTTGAAAGATTAGAAATCTTTGTTGAGTATGTGATTTTATATTATATCATGAATTAGTGTGATTTCTTACAAAATACCTAAGAGTTTTTCAGCAGATATTATATTTGATACCTATTTATGGATTAGGAGCCTCAAATTTTTAATTTGGAAATCACTGGGATAACTATTTCAAAAAACAATTATGATTGGGTGGCTTTTAGATTCTCAATGTTGCTTTAAGAATCATGTAAAATAGGTTCACTGGTTTTGTGTTACACAAGATTGGAAATCTAGATATTGTGATGTCTATTTTACTTTAAAATATGTTAGTGTCACACAGATACTATGTATGTGCTAGAAGTTAAGCTTCAAATCTAGGTCGAGACTCTATATTGAACTGAATTAAGAATCTATGCCGTACGTGTTGCCTTCATTGAGAATGTACGTGGCATAGCTTGTCAGCTAACATTATAACCAAGTACTTCAGTTTTCCACGTGTAGATCAACACCTGAGGCAGTGCTAATTACCTTAATGAATGCTAGAAATTTTTTTTTTAATAAAAATGCTCTTGCCTTTTTCATTTCAGAACTCTGACACTTAATGATATACTCAGAGTGGGAGTGGGGTGGGGAATTGGTGGGGTGCCTCTCTCCTGGAGAAACTCATCAGAAGACCTCCATCTGGAGCAAAGTCTATCTGAATGTAGCACAGCATTGCTGTTGAAGCAACTCTTCAGGAGGTAAGTGTTCCCCAGAGCCCAGCCTGTCCTGCCCTATTTTCCTTCACTGAAAAAGAGATCTTGGAAAACTCTCTCTTGAGTTTTTGAGTCACAAGAAGTCCCAGTGTCTCAGGAGGTTTGTGTTCAGCTCCCCCTGCAGTCCCAGGCACTGTGTCACTCACAGCGCAGAAGTACACAGCTGAGTCGCTCCAATGGGCTGAGGGTTTCTTCAGGTGGAAAGAGGTTTCACGGTCCTTAAATTCAGCCTTGAAACCTTTGATACCTTGAACCTTGGTGTTCCCTGATACGTATTTGAGGAGAAGCTGGAGGCCTTGGTTGGGGTACTGCACATACCAGTAGAGATAAGGAGTTCCACTATAGGAATAGTTGCATCTCAGCTCCAGAAAGTCTTCTTCAGAAACAGTGACGTGGGCATCAGGCTGGGTCACCGACTGGGCTCCGGTTCCTCCTGAAACATCAATCCTGAGTCAGTGAGTCCAAGACAGACTTACCTATTAAGAGAAGGTATCTTTATTCTGCATCCGATTAGAACACAGTCACTTTTGTTTAGGAAGCAAAGGAAAGGGAATGTTACTCACTTGGGGCAAAAATCACCTCAAGCACTGAGATGAACAGCAAGAGCATGGCTGAGCAGTGGAGACACTGCGGGCTCCGCAGCAGGTGGGACAGTAGCCAAGGTCACTGAGCCTTCAGAGCTACAGGAAGAGTGGGGAGGTTGGGCTAGACAAGTCCCATGCTTTGACGAGTTTCAGACTGTGAGAAGGAGTCTTCCTCTTCTGGCCTCTTCTTGTCACAGTTTCCTGTCTTCACAGATGTCAGCACTGCAGGGAGGAGGGGCTGAGTGTCTGGTGATGACCTGCAACCAGAACAAACGTCTCATCTGTGCAGCATCACTCTCTGCCTCCAGAGGCAGGGCCAAAGATCTGAGAGAGCTAGCTGTCTTCTGTTCTCTTTTCAGAGAGGTGATCATTAGAACTTCAACAGAAAGTGTTTCTTCCTCCCTGAATCTGTGATGATGTCACCTTCTGTAGTACATGGCATTAATCCTAAAATAAGGGAGAAATGGGAGCTTTGTAAAAATAGAAGAGTAATTTACTTCACTAAGAAATTAGTCACAGAAGACAATATTCTAGACTTTGGTGCACCACTGAGAGGCTCTATATTACCTTTTAAAGCCATTCATCAGGCAGAATGACTAAAATCAATTGCCTCAGCTGAGCTGACCTTTATGTGGCCTTGTGCTGCTGAATGATACTTAAAATTAGCCTGGAAGATGTGACATTATCTAATCAGTGCAAATTTACTAAGGCAATAATTTTTTTTGTCAGGCAGAAAGTGTGAAGAAGATTCCTTGGTTTCAGGTGAACACGTTTGATGTGTGTTTAGGCTATGGGAGAGTAACTTGGGCACCCCATGTTTAAGTGGAGAAAGGGAGAGTCCTGTTCTAATTGTCGATGGTCAGAACAGACTGATATATTTTGGCAAATGATGGGGACCTCACACTAAAAAGAACATTGACAGAGGAGCATTTGCAGAAAAGTGAGCAGAATTATAATTGTAAGGAAAATATGACATATAAATAAGTGATTCTAGAAGGAATTGAGGAAAGAGAAAAAATAGTGAAACTATATGAACTCAAGGCTGGACGGAGTGCAACCAGCATAACGGAAATGAGAGGAACCTCCAGGGTGGGTGTAGAAGCCATGGAAGTAGATCGTCAGGGACACTCAGTGTAGTGAAGCAACACAGTCTACACAGCAGGCACAGGGCCTATTGACCGGGGGGAGTCTGCTCTATCCTCTAATAGTAAGACGGAACTCTGAAGGGAGAAGACTTCCCTCCTTGGCTTATTTTAGAGACCACTGAAACCTTAAAACTGAAATAACTAAAGAGAGAAATCTCAGGTGAAATGAGAATCTGGTCAACAGGAGTCCTTTACAGAAGGACAGAACAACTCAATGCTCTCTGCAACCTTTGTTGACTTGCACCAGCCTGGAATCAGTTCTCCCTCTGGCTTCTGATTTATTTCTTGACCCTGCCTATAGATTTCTTTCACACGTGGAACCAAATCACACAGCCAGTTTGAAATTTTAAATGTACCAGGATATGTTTCTGATTCAAAATATCTGACTAAGCGTATGTACTCTCCTCCTTTCTCCCCCAAATTGCCACTGAAATAAAAGTTGGAAGCATAAATGAGATGAACTTAAATCCATAATGGGAAAATAATAAAAATATAAAAGATATCAACAATCCCATAAGAGGGAAAGTAGATGTGAGCACAGTGATGAGTGAGAGAGGGGGAAAGCATAGCCCAGAATGAAGCATGAGAAGATGTCAGTAGAAACGTGAGTGAAGAAAATTTACTTCTTAGGACCCTGAAGAGGTTCTGGGCTGAGAAAGAGTATGATGGAGGGCAGGAGGGACAGAACACAGGGGACAAATTGAACGTCCATGTGTGGATTAGCTATGTTAGTCTCCCTCTGTATGCTCCATCCAGCTACTATACTAACATGTGAAAAGCATAGTAAAATATAGAGAGAATCTCATTTATTCCAGAAATCAATCCTGAAATATATATGATAGAAATATATAGACTATAGGCTGGGGGAGCCTGGGTGGCTCGATTGGTTAAGTGTCCAACTCTTGATTTCAGTTCAGGTCATGATTGCAGGGTCATGAGATCGAGCCCCAGGTCAGGCTTCCAGCTCAGTGTGGAGTCTGCTTGCAATTCTTTCCCTCCCTCTTCTTATGTCCCTCCCCCCTCTTGTACATACTCATAAATAAATAAATAAATAAATAAATAAATAAATAAATAAATAAAATCTTTTTTAAAAAAGAGAAATATAGGGCGCCTGGGTGGCTCAGTTGGTTAAGCGACTGCCTTCGGCTCAGGTCATGATCCTGGAGTCCCCGGATCGAGTCCCACATCGGGCTCCCTGAGCAGGGAGCCTGCTTCTCCCTCTGACCCTCTTCCCTCTCGTGCTCTCTATCTCTCATTCTCTCTCTCTCAAATAAATAAATAAAATCTTAAAAAAAAAAGAAATATATACAATATGGGCCTAAGATCAAATGGCCCATCGGTAACCTAAAAGACATTCAAACTGGCACCACAGACCAAATTCTTTCCAGTGCACCATGACACCAGAAGACACACAACACAAATAGAACTAGAATTCAAGTATCTTGATCCAGCACAACTTCCTGCTTCTTCTCACTGCCTTTCAGATCTGTCTTCCATGATTCAGAAATATTTGTGAAGAGTCTTCAGTCCACAGATTGAGAATTTGAAGCAAGTCCTGACTGGGTTGCATCCTTTTAATCAGTGACTATGGGAACAAAATTGAACAGAAATCCTAACTCCCCATTTCCAGGTTTTCCCACTCTTTGGACTACATAAACAATGTCTTGTCTAACAGCCCACATCTTCAACTTTACAATAAATGTGACTTTTACATTTTCCCCCTTTAATTCTAACATCCATTACAAGGCCTTATTTCTATCAGGCCACAAACACTTTTCCTGGACTTGGACATAAGTTGTGGGGCAATTCCAAAGTGCCAAGGAGTCAGGGTGTTATATAATCTTTGGTGTTATCAACTTCCCTCACCAATATTTTCTAAGACATCTTCAATACCATATGGTTTGGATAATTGATCCAATCAGGTCTTTAATCACCATAACAAAGCTCCTCTGTGTCTGGAATTCTTTTAGGTACTTATTTGGAGATCTTCTCAGGAAATCTGAAGTCATTCTGTGCTCCCACGCTCTGCCTGTGGGTAAAAGGCATTATATGGCTATGGGTAATGCTCTTAATTCCCGTGTGCATCTAGGGAGCAAACAGAATTTGCCTACCCTGAAACCTAGGCTCTATATCAGGCATTGCTGGGGCCCTAGTGGGTTTGGGTGCAGACAGCAGGTGCCAGGAGACAACTGTGTGCTTACTGCACAGAGGTAGGTGGCTGAGTCGCTGGGCTGGGAGTCTCTGATGAGCAGGGAGACGTATTGTTTTGCTCTATCGACCTGCCCCCAAAATCTTCCTTCCTTCTTGTCACCTTTGGAGTACATGTACATCAGCAACTTGGGACCCTTCCCGGAATACTGTCTGTACCACATGAAGTACTGGGAAGCACTGTCACTATAATTGCAGTTGAGAGAGGCCGTGGCTCCCTCCAGAACGCTCAGAGATCCAGGACTCTGCTCCACTCCCTTCTGTTGACTCCTCATCCCTATGCAAAAAGACAGTGGTCAGTCAAAGGATATTCACTGGGTAGTGAATCCTTACTCTCCAGAGTTTAAATGAATTTTCACAGGCCTCCTATCCCAACCCTCCCTTAGTGGGAGAAAAATATTCATGTTTCTACCCACAGGCCCAGAATAGATAATAACTCCAAATATTGTCTTTATATTCCCAGAGAGATTCCCAAAACTCACAGGTTAACTGAAGCCACAGGATCACTAGTAAAACTCTTGAGGACTTCATCGTTCTTTCCTCCCCTGCTTCACTGTGGATTCAGATTTTAAGCCCTAAAAAAAAATGAGTCTAGCTCAGACATTTCAAATTCTTCTGCTTTCCTACCAATTAGGAAAAAACAGACTTTTTCACCACCCTGCTACACCATCAAGCCCCTCCTCTCGTCTCCTTCTCTCTCTCTCTCTCTCTCTCTCTCTCTCACACACACAGACACACGAGAGCTTTCTTCACTCCCTGAGAAAACACTGCCATCTTGTGGACTCATGATAGTGATCAAAGAAATGTTCAAAATGTAGACCCTTATTATATAAACTGATAGCTGTAAAAATCTGCCACTTTAGTAGAATTAAAAATTTAAGAAGCAGATGGTCCAAGTCAATGTGTGTGGGGAGAGGGAGATGTGTATGTGTTTTACATTAAATGGCAATGCTTGTCTGAGCAAAAGCAATTATAGAAAATAACCACTTTCCTGCACTGAAAAAGCAGTCATAGAGTATTCTATTTTAGAAGCCCAGTGAGGTTCTTGCAATTCAAGGAGCATTTCATATTGTGTAACTCTTCTCCACATCAGGCCAGACACTTCCTATCTCATTCCCTCACTTCCAATTTTTAAAGGAATTTATTCTAACTCAAAAGAATCCTTTCAAGACAGGTGGCTTAAAATCTGACCAAATAAACATATTTCCAGCTCAAAACTTGAGCAATATTTTTTTAGCAAGACCAAGGACTATAGGAACTTAGGATTCTTCATACCATTTTGCACCAATGACACATTTGTGTCAAAATAGTGCTTACTAGAGCTATTATTATTATTATTATTACTATAAAGATGGACCTGACTTCAATATCTAGACTATAAATAAAACCTAGTGTCCCTGTTCATTTGTCTAATTCCTCTTATTTCCTTTTCTTGCATAAAGCCCCAGTATTTAGAGATTCATTTCCAAAAGTTACAGATCTGGTCTTGCACTCTCTGCATCTCCATCCTACCCTAGCCAGCAAACCAGATTTATCAGAGGGCAATGTATGCCAGAAGCTTCGCTGGGGCTACAGAGAAACAAGCACACACAACAGCTGTCCTTCTTTTCCACAACCTGCCTCGTGTCCTCGCAGAAGCTGGTGGCTACTGATCAGCTGTGGCACGGCCCTCTTCTGTTCAGGAGCCATGTAATCAGTCTCCAGACGCGAGGGACCAGTAAGGCCCTTCCCATTCCCACTGAAAACTGTGTCAGAAACAGAATGAGGGAAAAGATGCTAATATTGGAATGTCTTTTTCTAAGAGTACATTCCATTTGACAAAAACCACGTAGCGATTTCTCAGTAAAGGTACAAACCAAAGGAGATGGGACAGCCACAGAAGATGGCAACCACCACGGTCTTAGGAAATTTATGAACACCAAATATAAATCTTTAAAAATAAAATGTGGACCTGAAGCACAGTCTTTATATGAAGCACCCCACCTTTTTTAAGATTTGTCACAAAAATTAATATAAATGGCTAATAGACCTAATACTGCGGTGGATGCAAAGCCATGTCCATGCTGGCAAAATGACAGAATCCACATAACATCAACGTTGTCCTGCCTGCAGAAGCTTCCATGCCTAATGCTGTCTAAAGAATATATGGAACTCCTTCAGATGATGGAAGGACAGTGCTAAGGCAATCAATCAAAAAGAAAATCCACAGTCCCCTCTCTCATTTGATTTAAGTAGTCTTCAATTTCTACACTAGTACATTTTTTAGATACGTCTTGTTAACCTCAAAGTACTGCAGAGCAGGCTCCCATCCAAAGGGAATTTATCTCATGATATTGCAGATGTTAGTAATTTTGTGTCCATTTGAGCTCACATATTTCAAACATGCTTCTGGTCCACGTTCTGGTTACTGATGACATGGCTGAGCCAGACATTGTTTGTATCTCCTCTTTTTTCCTGTAGGATGTAAAAATCAAGTGCATAAACAATACAGTGATGTTAATGAGCACACAATGGGTAAAGATGTGTCTGTTTTCATGTATATAAAGATCTCCAATTTTGTGGTGGTGGAGAAAGAGCAACAACCCTGGCACCCGGGAAAGGAAAAACTTAGACCCTGAGAGGCAAGGAAGGGTGAGGGATGAATGCTGTCTTTGGGTGTTAGCACAAAGTGTCCAGCACTGTTGCCTAGCAAAACAACCATACGGTCTGCTGGGGCCAAGCAACAGCTGCGGTTGGCAGTTTGACCTCCCCTGGTTTGTCACCCTCCTTCACATTCTACGAAAACAGAAAAACTGATATGAATATGGCCTGTCCTGAACTATTCTGCTGTGCCTGATGCCATCAATGGAAGCTTCCCAACCTGGATTCCCATCCCCATATGTACACAAACATATCAGCACAGCCTTTTTTCAATCGACTGGTACCAATGTATATGCTTCTGATGTCCAAGCAGTCTTGAGTTATGCCTCATGAATTGCTATAGAGTTTGCAAATACTCAGTAACAATGCTCATACAGCTTAACCAAAGTGATGTAACGCTGACTCTAATCAAGTTTAACAATAAATTCCAAACTGGATTAACTTGTGCCCCTTTGGGTTATATGTTTATGTCTGGGGAGAAAAGGGGCCACAAAACATCCTTTTATCGGGAATGTGGTTGTTTCTTGGTCTTTTTTTTTTTTTTTTGACAATTGAACCAAAGATCAGTGTGTCAGTCTAAACTCCTTCGCATGGATCATAATGAATATTACCCTATATCCTAGCTGTCTGTATTCTGGGACTTATTCACAGTTGACTGAATCGGTTGAGGTTAATGCTGCAAATGGGTGTCATCCTGCTGCTTAGAGTTCTGCAGCTTTAATTAATTGCTGTTTAAGATAAACTGAATGGATTTAGTCTTGGTCTCAGTCAGATTAAGCAGGATGGCTGATGGACTGACATATTCATGAAACATTTCTAGAAACTCACAGTGTAAAACCTGTGGAGTGGTTGTTATTGAAAGACAATCCACTATGACTCTTTCATACTTCTACACATCTTGCTGGGTGTGCTAGTAATGTAAGGCCATGACCGCTCAACCTGAAACATTTTTTAGGGTTGTGCTTGCAGCAAGCAACCTTGAGCAATGAGGTAATGTCTTCTTGGAGACAAAGAGCAAGCTTGCTTGCTGCTTGCTAAAAAAGCAGTAAATTCCCCAAGCTCAGTGTTCCTTAGCTATGACACAATTCCACTGCATGCATAGCATCCCTGTGCACCCATTATATCACCTATGAGAATTTTAAGAGCAAATGCAACTGAAGCAAATATGCCAATGTTCTTGCTTTGCAAAGATAAAATGCTTTGTCTCTGACCTAGGAATTCTGTGTCATCAATAACAGCATCAAAGAAACAATAAAAAGCTAGTAAGCTTGTAAGAAGGTTAAGATCCAAGTCCTGCCCACATTTATAAATACTATAGTTAAGATCTGAATGCCTTTGAGAAAGGTAAGTTTCCCCAAACTGGTCTAGAATGGACTTTCTTTGAAGGATGTAATGTATAGCCCCATATGGGACTTATTTCTGATAAAATGCTAGAGCAATTTTCTGATATACTTTAAAGAAATAAAAACTCCTTCTGGGAAATTAGTGTTACACACTCAAATGATTATTAATAATCTGAGGAACTTAATATCCAGTGCACAGACATTCAAAAGTAGAATAATTATGAATCAGTCCTCTGACCATACTAATGATCTTTAATCAGGCTTTAAAAAAAAAAATCTATTCTCCTGTGAAATGTCTCTAACAAGGCTAATTATTTGAACTTGTTTCCTGAGGAGCTTTTCTCTTGCAATAATTTGAAATAAAACTTTGACATGTGCTCATGATTATTTGACTTGAGGTCACTTTTCTACTTTCCAAAGCCTTTAGGATATGTCTTTTTTCTTTTTTCTTTTAGATATATCATGATGGGGTTACTAGCCTTTGAGTTGGCCCAGCTCATTCAGATTATACCTGATAAAGTGAGGTCGGTTGAGTGGAGACAGGCTGAGACCCAGGTGGATATAATTATTTGACAGACCCCACTGAACAAAGAAAGGCCAGGATCTGAGTCTGGAGAATAAGGGCCAGAGAGAACTAAATTGTACCACATACTTAAGCAAAGAGAATATAGACAATGTTGAGAATTGCTAGGGTGGGGATGAGAAGAATGAAAAAGGGAGACAGAAAGGAAGGCCAGAACATTCATTCATTCCTCCATTCCTTCATGCATTCAACCAGTAGAATGATAGAGCAGTAAGTTCCCTGAGTTTTCTTTTGAATCATGTAACTGACTACTGTGGGTCAGTCACTATTCTGTGCACTTAGGGCAAAGCCATGAATAAAATAAATAATACCTCTGGCCTCATAGAGTTTGATTTCTAATCAGAGGTATAGGCAATGAACATATGACACGTAAGTCAACAATATAACTGCATGCTGTGATTACTACCATCAGGGAAATAACCAGGGTGTTATGGCAGAGAGTTAGGAGGAGGTCTGTGGGTGGCCACATTAGTCAGAGAGACCAACAGAAGTCAGAAGGCTTTTTCTACGGTAATGATACTTGAACTGAAAGCTGAAAGCCGAAAATGAGTCGGGTTGCTGAGATTTAGGGGAAGAGTGTCTCAGATGGATGGAAGAGTAAGACCAAATGTGGGAAAGGATATGGCAAGTTCAGCAAACTGAGAGGAGATCAATGTTGTTGTGGCCCAGAGAGCCAGGGAAAGAGAGTGAAGAGCTGAGACCGAGGGGTCAGGAGAGATTCAAATTACGCCTAACCTTGTATATCTCAACGTGGAGTTTGTATTTTACTGTAGGAGCAGTAGAAAACCAATGAAGCATTTTAGGCAAGTAGAGACAGCTTTTGACTTATGCTTTAAACAATCACTCGGGCTGCCAATCAGGCTGCTGCTTCTGAAACTTTTAAGTGATAGAATCACCTGGGGAGCTCCTGGGTGGCTCAGTTGGTTAAGCGACTGCCTTCGGCTCAGATCATGATCCTGGAGTCCCAGGATCGAGTCCCACATCGGGCTCCCTGCTCAGCGGGGAGTCTGCTTCTCCCTCTGACCCTCTCTCCTCTCATGCTCTCTCTCT